GATGGAACATCACATGCACAACCTGGATATTTATTTGCATACCATGTCCCGCCCACATGTGCATTTCGTTCAATTAAAATATAATTATCCACACCGAGCTCATTCAATTTAATTGCTGTACCAAGTCCAGAAAAACCAGTACCAATAACAATAGCATAATATTCACCATCTTTTTGATTACTTTTGCTTTTAAGTTTTCGTTTTGCTTGTTTTTCATAACGACCAAATGAATCAAATAATAGCCAATATAAGAAGTGGCAAATAAAACCGATTAATATTCCTATAATTGTTATGGAATAACTACATATAACAAACAATAATAAACGTACTAAAGACGGTGATGTTTGCTCCATTCTTCAAACGACAATACAAATACGTTTATAAGAAAGATAATAACATATTCATGTATAAAAAGAATATGTCATGATATATTTTTTTATCTTTATCAGTTATTTTCTTTCTGTCATTGGACTTTACTTTTACTCGTGCATTTTGCTGTCTTCGTTTTACAACTACATAGAATAACTATTCGTTCTTGTTCTTTTTGTTGTGATAAAACGTATTCACTTCTATTACTTTCATGTGCCTTTATACAAAAAGGATATCTTTGGAATATAAACTATTTTCTTTCAAAATAATCATTATAAATACGATTGTTTTTAACACTATATATGATGATATCATACGCAAAAGAGAGAAAAACTATTACATGATAATCATAGAGAAGTAGAAGAATGTTTAACGTTAATTGTGTAATATGTATATGATGCTAATATAGTCACAGTTGTTATATTATTATAAACTTAAATCGAAAGAAATTGCGTTGTTTTTGTTATCGACATAATTTCATTCATCTATAGGACTAATAAAGATCACATCGTTTGTAACTTATAAAATCACGATAATTTAACAGTCAACATATATTTTCAACAAATCTTATAAACACGATAATAACATCTAATTAAATTTTGACAAGTTGAATAGATATTAATTATAATCCTTTCAAATCACACATAACCTTATATTTACTTTTCAACTATGCAAATATTAAAAAAAGAATATCTATCCAAACAATTTGTTTCATTTTTTCGTAAACATAAAGAAAAACAATTCTATTGTAATACGAAGATTATGACCTATCTCTCTATTGTTCAACAAATCAATTTATACTTTGAACTTCGCAGTTGGTGGTATTTCTCTTATGATCAAGGTAATGTCTAGACAATCATCAAAAAAAAGCATGAAATCTCTCTGTGTGAAAAAAGCAATCAGATGACTTAATCTTGATTCTTTTTATCTTTTATTTCACTCAGCATGAAACAAATCGTGTGAAGATAATTATACTTTTCTTTTTTTTTTATTATTATTAACACCGGGATCAATAAAAAAGAAACAACTTTTTATACTATACAAGAGGTTCATTATAAGCAAAAGAAAGCTTTTTATTTATTTCAATCGGTTGTATTGAATGATGAATTGTTCGATATTTCAATAGATTAATTGTTATACTGATAAATGTTAATGAATGAAATAAGATAATAATTAATACCAAATAGAATGAATATGATATTTTGATTAATTTTACATAATCTTTTGTTGTTTGCCAAACAAGATAAATCATTATTGATAAACATAAATATGTTAGAATAGTAAAAATAAGTAATGACATAAGAAATTTGAATAATGAAGAAGAATTACGATGAAGTAATGTAATTAACCAAATAATACCACTTATATCGGCTAATATAACAGATGTAAATGAAAGAATTTGTAAAATAAATAAGATACGTCCTGAAAAAAAAGATGGAAATTTAATTTTAATAATACGAAATTTAAAATTTGAATTTTACCTTCTGACGTATCAATTTGTGGTTCAACAAGTAACCATGAAGAAGATATTGATCGAGCTCTCCAGAGACCAACTTGAAGTGTCTCAGATGACCACCAATAAGGTAACAACATAGCAATAGTCGTTAATACAGTTGAAAGTGGAACAGTTATTAAAAACATATTTTGTAAAATAAGCATCATTTTTTTCAAATGAAATCAAATGAATGAATGAATGAATTTGTTCACTCTTTTTTCTTTCTCTTTATATATGTGTATACATCTATTCTCTCTTTTTCTCTCCCACGATATCAAGTAGCACGTATATACGTACTGTGTGAATATCAATTGACAATTTTTCTCGTTCGTGGGAAAAGCATCGATCCAATGTGAATGTGTCAATATGTGCAAATGACATTCAATCACTTTGCTATGGATATTACACACGTACTTGCATATACATATATGAATTGTCATGAAAGATGAGATGATATTTTATATGGATAACTAATCTATGATTAATACTAAAAAATTATAATATCAAAAAAAAAGAGTAGATAAGACAATTTATTAACTTTTTCCTTTTAAAGACAAAATGTCAAATACAACAATTTTTAAAATTTTTCTCTTAGAAGATTTATATCGAGCTTCTCAGCGTATTCGTTTTAGTTTTATCGTTAATCAAACTATTAAAATATTGTGTTTTTCAATAACACTCTTGTGAATTGATTCAGTGTCCTATAAACTTATTCTTTAGACAACTGATAAAAAAAATAGTTTGTATCCTATTGAGAAATAAATAAACTCTTCACATATCATGATTTATTGACTAGACTTTTAAAGTTATTTTATGAATCAAATTCAATATCTTCGATTTTGATTTTTCTGTTGTGTTATCTATTTATTGTATACAGAGTGATATTATCAGAAAAATATTCTATTAGGTGAATTGATATGTTTATGTCATATATCATCTAGTAATTATATATTTAAAAAAACAGTCAATTTTAAGTAATGTTCATTTCGAAGGTTGTACACAATTTGTAAAATAATTCATTCGAGGTCTATATTCATCTATAATTGCTATGAATATTCTTTACAACTGCCAGAACAAGGTCGAAATATAAGTCTATAAAAGATTATCAATAAGGAAACAGATAGAACGTCAAAGCATATATTTAAAAAAAATTTTCCTATTATACTATATCTATTGAAATTTATAAGAAAGAAAAACGAACAATTAAACTAATAAAATATTCATTATTAAATTCTTGCTGAAAAACATAAACTTAACTATGCTTGATTCATTAGAGAATATTTTATTTAAATAAAAGTCTTTTAAATAGTCTATTATTCATAACACTTAAATAAACAAATGGTGATAAAATAACAGATGATTTAGCAATAAAAGCTGCTAATGTTATTAAAACTGTACGTTGAAAAATAAATTTGATATTTAATAATTGTGATATTGCAACGATTGAATAAGGTGTCCATGCAAGTATATAACTACTAACAAGAAATATAATTGCTCTTAAAAATCGATAATCTAATCGAAAACGTTTTCGATCACTAGCTTGATGTATATAATATTTATGATTATCGATTTCAAAATAATGTATTCGTTGATGAATTTTTATTGTTGATATTTGAGATGAATATTGAAGAAATGATGAATTTAAATAATGTTTTGAATAAATATGACGAACAATGAAATGAGCACGAAAATTAACAAAAAAAAGTATTAATAATGGAAAGAAATACATAAGAATAAATGAAAATAATATATACAAACGACTTATATTTGATTGATCTTGCCAATTAATACTACAATGAAAACCAAGTCCTTCAGGTATATATGAATTAAAATAATCAAATACTAATGGAAATGCAAATATAAAACTTAAGAACCAACATATAAATGTTGAAAGTTTATATGAAAAAAATTTATGATACGAACATAAAGATATATACCGATGTATTGATAATATTGTAAAAACTAGCATACATACACAACCACTAACATATGAAACAAAACCTTCAATACGACAATAGATTGTTGAACATTGACGTCGACATGCAAATAATTGTGCAAGAACTCGTGGTACACTTATAACTATAACTAAAAGTGATGCTAAGAATAATGATATAACAAGAGTATTTTGACGTCGTTGAGTAAATAAAAATCGAATATTAAATATAAAACAAACAATTGATATAATCAAAATAATTCCACCACCTAAACGACATGCTATACATGAAAGATTCCATGGATTAAGATGTAATGAATCAAGACATGGCCATAATAATAAATTTGTTTCGTTGGAACTCATTCTTTTTTTCTAATGATATTTAAATAAGAAATATAAGATATGAAATTTATTATATAATAGAAGATTCTTTTCCTTTTTTTTCTATTTAATTATTCATTTTTCAAATCTTAAAAAGTACATAAAACATACATTTTTTTGACTTTTATAGAAAATTTACTTAACCATTTCAATTGCTTATAATATATTTTGTTTAAATAATTAATCTAAGAATTTCTTTATCTAACTTGTGCTTTACAATAAATATATTATTATTTAAGTACATCTCATTTATTTAACTAGGAAAAAAGATAACAGTACTATTGACTTACTTAGTTTTTGTATCTCAAATAATCTATTCAGATGATTTTAAGTAAACTATAAAAATATGAAATATTATTGTCTTGTTTAGGCAAGTTCATATCAGAATAGAATTAATCTTCTATATTTATATATTTAGATTAAATATTGAGTTGTAAATTAGAATATGTCAAGTAATCCGGAAAAGAAATAAATCACCTCGAAAGGTTTTGTAATGTGAATGTGGGTAAGGATGCTGATATGGAAGAAGAGTAATCCATACCTATACATCTACACCTACATTTATTCTCACCTACACCCACACCCTACAACGATGACATTGATCGTGCCGAGCTTCTCAAAGGATTCTCGCTTTAAAGAAATAAGCTCATCAGATTGTCTCTAATATTTCCACACCTTTTACTTGTTATGTCTTCTATCATTAATAAACTTCAAGTAAAATTTTTTCAGATTACTTGACATCACCGTAAATTATGTTCGATTTTCTAAATAGTTTATAGGATATTAAACTTATATATTTCATTATTATCAACAATGATTACAAACTTCACGTCTGCCTCGGTTAGATCCTGTGTATTTTATTCAAGAATCACTCTACTATATATACGATCAGAAAACCACAGGATAAACAGAAAGAGAAGATAGTATTACAGAGAGAACACGGAGTAGTGTATGTTCTTTTGATAGGAGTCAAAAAACATACACAGAGAAAAAAGGTATATAAGAAGATTATAACAATGATATATAGTTCTTTATTGTAAATTTTGATTATTTAATTTTAGCTTACAAAATAATTAAACATCATTAAAAACTATTGTTTGCTGAAATACTCTTTCATGAAACCTTTTTTTTGTTGTATGTTTACTGCTAAAATAATACATTTGAAAAGATGACTACAGATCATAGCGATTGTATTGAAAATTATTTAATGACATTTGTTAATAAAATATGAGGATAAAGAAAGAGAACAAGAATTATTCAACGTAAAAGATATAAGAGCTGTATGCTGAAAAAGTTGGTATTATACGTCATGAAACGTTATGAATTATTCAGAAAAAGAGAGTATTGAAATAGAATCATATATGTGTTGGCAATAGTAAATCTAACATTGCTAGAAAAAAGAGGTGAATATATAATAAAAAAAGAATCACTGAATACTTTCATGGATAATTAACGACTTTCTTTTCTTTCATTTTAAACAAACGCATACATACTACTTTTTTTCCTTATACCAATATAATTATTTATTTTTATCTAGAATTAAAACTACGAAATACGATAATTAACTATGCCAGTTACAATGTCATAGACTTGCATATGATATTGATATTTTGATAATAAATTTTTTATGTTTACCCGTAAGTAAATGAAGATCTGAAATCATATTAAATCTCAAAATATTTTTATCATCAGATTAATCTAAATATATATGACATGTCGAAAATAGATATCTCAGATGTTGCTCATCCGTTGTGACGTACATACTAATCTCTTTGTTTATATTTTTGAAATAAATATATCTCTATAGTCTGATCAATCATCAAATACATGAAAACAACAAGTGCGCCGTTTATTAATTAAGAGAAAGACAAGACATTAGAAACAACAATACTTGTGTTATGTAGATTTTCATAAAAACAAAATCTTCTTTTTTTTCAAAATTTATTCAAATAACATATTTGACGATTTTGTCTTTTTTTTATTCTAGGTAATTTATCTTCTTTTATAAATAATTCGCTAGAAGGAATAATTGAATTTCCATTCAATTTTAGAGATGATAATCTTTCTTTCTCTTTCAATTTTGTACCGCTATATTCTGAAAAAGTATCATTTTGAATTTCATCAGAATTCAATATGATTTCAGGAATATTATCTGGTGATGGTGCTAACGGTAATAGAGAATAAATAATTGCCTAGAATAATAAATAATCGAATAATTTACTGTAATAAATAAATGTTTTCTTACTTTTCCACCATGAATTTTTAAATGTTTGAAGTCAGATTTCGGTCTATGTTGCATATATTTTCGAACAAATCGACCAAGTACAGGCATTTTAATACCAAAATTATCTCGTTGAGTTTTAAGTAATGATTCAATCGATGGTTTTTTAGTAATCGATACAAAATCTACACGATCTAATCCAATCCTATGATAAAGACGTTCACGACGTTGTATCCATTCGTGTCTAACTTCAGTATCTAATTTTTGTGAATGATTTATTACTAAACCATTCATTTCATTATGAATATTCGATTGTTCTTGAATAATATCAGATGATTGTTGAATTTCAACATCTTTCTTATGATCTGAATATTTGAAAATTTCTTAAATAATATTTCCAAAAAAATTTGAACTTACAAAAATATTGAAATATAGGTAATGAAGTCCATGCAACAATTGTATGTTTCAATAATTTCCATCTTTTTCCGATATCACCACGAAGTACTTCTAGTGTTGTTGCTGAACCTTTTCGACGTATATCTTCAGGAATTCGTTTTGGTAAACTATGTTTTTCTACTATTTAACTATTGAATTAAATAAAATAACATACTCCTTTAATATTATCGTTGAACTTAATAATCCCCATGAAACTGATTGACCCATAAAACCGATATATCGTCCAGTAAGAGTAAATAATCGTATTGTACAATCAATTGAACTTGTTATAACAATTTCACGATCATTCGCATAAACTATTGATGTTATCGGTCGAAGATGTGCACGATATGTAATTAATAAATGAGGATAAATAACAGTATTCGTTAAAAATGTTGCTCGATCTTGATTTATAGTTATTGATGGTGTTCCTAAATGATCTCGTAGTTTATGTTCAGCTTGATTTCTCATTTCTTGTATTTCTATTCAAAAATATTTTATTATATCGTTTTAAAAATATTATGATACTCAATTATTCACAAACCGTTAGTAGTTGCATGTAAATTAGAAGAAAATTTAGTTAATATTCGATTTTTTTCTTCTACTAATTTCATTTGTTTTTCTTTTGAATCCGGTTGTTTACAAGCATAATCACCAATAAACCATAACGCAACATATCCAGCTGTATCAGCTATTATTTCTTCGTTATTAAATTACAACAAAATATTTTTATATATAAAACTTACATGTAAATAAAATATTACATTTTTCATCAACACACATTGCTAAAATATGTTCTAGAAGAAAAATTCTTTTCTCAAAAAAAAAAGAAAAAACTAAATATTATAATAAAACCTTGAGGTTTTCTTGCTCCATTAAAAACGGCAATTAAATTTCCAATTACATGAATAGACCACCACCAAATCCAACCCATACTACCGCCAGTAACAAGAGTTGCTGTTAAAGGATTTACTTCACGTGTATGAAGAAAAATCAATTGATCTAAATGATAATCAGATGAAACTGTTGATTGATTCGATTCAAGATTAGTATGAGATTTTCTAAATAATTTGTTTTCCGGAAATTAGATCATCAAGTAAATCTAATAAAAAAACACATACAAAGAGCTCTCAACTGCTGTCTCATAATTTGTTCGAAGATGACTTAGTAATGATTGACGAATTCTATATAGATAATAAATATTTAATGTTTTTCGTATACTTTCATAAATAATTCACCGTTCTGTATTATCAACATGGCGTCTTTGTAATTTTCTAATTCGTCGACGAGAAAAATATTTTGGAAAAATAGCTTGAATTGCACCTTTTGTCTAGATTTCTTGAATAAAGATATTCGGTTTTTTTTATTGTTTTCTTAAAACTACCGTTTGTTTATAGAGCCATGAAAGTGAGATAAGTTTTGGTTTAGTATCTTCAAATGAATTTAATTTCATAAACGGCATTCCTGTTTCGATAGTCCATAAGATAATATCGCCATCATAACTAGCTAAAAATTTCATAGAATAGTAATTAAAGTGGTTTTAAATGTATATATATATTTCTTGATACCCGTAGCGAGAATATTTATTACCATATTCATTGATAAAATATCATCGTTATGTAATGAACGAAATTCATCGACTATGTAAACGAAAAAAAGAATGTGAGTGTGGCGTTTTTATTCGCACCCACACTCTTAACATATCACACTGAGAATTCATACAAACCTTGTCGAATAACAACTGATTTACCCAGATGAAATACTCGAATACGTCTTGACCAACCAGCAACAAATAAGCGTTCATTTTCATGTAATAATGCTGTGATTTCTTTTGCATGTATTCCATTTGAATTAATACGATAGAGATTATGTCCATTATTAAAATTCCATAATGCTAATGAACCATCATGTGCACCTGTTATTAAACGACGTTTAGTTTCATCTAAACACATAGCTGTTATTTCAACAGCATGTTCATTATATTCATCAAATTGTGTAACATGTGCATTTAATATATGCATTATCTTTTCACCAGTTACTATATTCCATATATTGACAGTTGAGCTTTCATCCGATGATATGATAACATTAAATAGAGGATTATATAGTATTTGTGTTATAGGATAAAAATGTGATGTTCGTTCATTATGTGTATATAATTCATTGGTATGTGATAATGAAAGAAGTTTTCTATTACCAATAATTAAATTTTGTTGAATTGGATTTAAATAACATATTGTTAAATCTTGTCCAGATAGATCAAGAATTGTATGTGATATACGTTGTATCATTTTTAATGTTTGAACATCCCAAACAATAATATCTATATCAGTTTATAGGGTATTTTTATTATTAGTTTGAATAATACAAATGTAAATCTTACTTTTTCCTTTATCAATACTGATGATATGAGCTTCTCGATTATCAACAACTAGATGAGTAATAGAAGAATTATGTCCGCGTAAAATAGCTGCTGCTCGTTCTGTAACAAATGGATCCCAAAAACGAACGATACCATCAATACCACCAGTGACGATCGATCGATGAGCCTTTTCAATGAAATTAAAAAAATATATGATACATATACAATTATTACGTATATTAAACATCTGAATATCGCTAGTAGAATATCTACTTAGATGTTAGGAGAAAGATGTTAATATTAGGGTTTGGAAATAAAACGAACCCTTTCATCCACACGCTCGTGCACATCTTACGGGATTCTCTGAAAGATATAAAGAACGAATTAGTTCAGTTTACTAATATATATATAATTGTTATACAGGTTATAGCAAGAGCGAACGAACTGATTTCCATACTAGAAATCAATTAGAAATCACGAGAAATCAAAGAAATCAAAAGAGTGTAGGCATGAGTGTAAGTGTGGGTGGGTTTAGAGTGTGGATGGGTGTGGGTGTCAGGTAAATATAGTGTCTACAGGGACACGGACACCCACCCGGTCACACCCACACTCACCCGCATCCAGACGCACACCCACACATATTCCTAATTGATTTCTGTACTAGAAATCACAAGAAATCATAGGAAATCATGAAAAATCATGGGAAATCACGAAAATGAAATTAGAAATCAAGAAATCAGGAAATTAGTTTGTTCCCCCATGGGTTATATTCTATACTTAATAGAAAAATCGTATCATAACTTAAATGCAATAGTTCGTAGAATCTAAGGTTAACTTGTTCATTAAAAATGCAAAAACAATCATCATACCGTACAATAATCAAACACTCCAAAACCTTTTTTTGCCATTGCATATTTTTCTGTTTTTTTATGTAAATCTCCGATATATAAACTTTTATTTGATGTTAATGCACATGATACAAATAAATCAAGATCATTAATCCATTTAATTTGTACAATGCAATCATAATGTAAATTACAAAATTTAATTACTGATATTGTTAAATATTCATTATTAATAATTCGTGGAAATGAATAATATCTAATTGATTCTGATTTCATATGATGTATTGTATCAGATATATGAAACATTGGTTTATATTGATCTTTAGCTTGAAAAACAAATAAATTTCCTAATGAATCTCCACAAAAAATTGCTGATTGAAATGAGTTTTTAAGATTCATTCGATATGTAATTGTACTTAAACTAGCTGGAAAATGATTAATTATAATAGAACCTGTATATATATGTGAATTAATATCATAAAAAATTAGATCACGTTCAGTAGTTGCTATAACAAAATAATTCATATCTGGTAAAACACACATACATGTTATCCATAATGGAAGAGTTCTATATAAACAAAAAAATTATTGAAAATGAATATTTTGTTTGATAATCTACTGTTTTCTTTGTTCAATTGATTGAATTTTTGATTCTCGAATAAGTTTTAATGTTAATGACCAATGTGATACAATACCATTACGTGTTATGGATATATATCGTCCATAGGTATAATCAATTTGATCGAGAATTATACCAGCTCGTGATATTCCAGGAAAGAATTGAAACTATTTGAAAAAATAAATAGAAGAAAAAATAAATAGAAGAAAAAAAGGGAAAGTTTAGATTTCTTTACATCAATATAAACATCAAGTGATAGATTTTTTAATGTAAATTCTTTTGGATTATTTGGATAAGGCATTGGTTTCGACATATCATACATAATTTCTCTTTCTTGATGTTCAAATAAAATATATGTTAAATATTCTGAAAGATCAACTTCTCCATCACAATTTGTATCTAATTTATAAGATTATATAAATTTTTATTTATTTTGTTATAAATCTTTATCTACCTATCTAATATTAAAATAATAGTATAGAAATTTATTTTTTAGTTAAAATAATATTTATACTTTCATGAATATGATTTGTGCTTCACGATCAGTGATATCAGAATAGGTTTGTCGCATAAATGCAGTAAATTCACTAACATCCAAATAACCTGTATTATCAGTATCAGCTTCCATGAATGATTTACGAACTTTTTCAACAAATTCAAAAGTTACCCTAAAATAATTTGTTGAATTTTGACAATAAAACTTCATAGTGATAAGAATATCTGTTCTTAAAAATAACGATTTCTTATGATGAGAAAACTTTACTGTGAGTTTTCTAAATCATGAATATAAGTTTATGCGTATGCAAAACTTGCTAACGGCGTCTGGAAATAAAACGAATCCTTATCCACAAGCTCGTGTGCATCTTTCAGGATTCTAAGTTTATAAATAGTTGGAACGAATTCATCATTTATGTACTTCTCTATCAAAATAATGTATGAATCTTATGCTTCGTCCTGCATAGCTGTCAATCAAATGTTTTATTCGTAAAAATGATCTTGCTTTGATCATACTGTCTATTATAATTTTTCAAAGTTGAATTTATTTTCGAATCAGATATGTATTTTATAGATAAAGAATTATTTACTTCTGACTATTACAAATGGTTTTCAGTAACACTCACATATCTTCAACTGTTCGTTCGAGTGAAGTTTCTGTAGTTAATGAAAGCGGAGCCATTAGAATCTTCTCTTTATTATTGACTACACCATTGGATAAATCATTATTGATTGTCTGATTCTACAGATACAAATGTATTTATAATCAGTAGATTAAAAAGTAATAGCAAACTTTAATTGTTTCGTTTCGTAAATATTTAAGATATTGATCAACAGCATGAATAAGTAGACGATTTGGTAAACGAACACTAATTTGAGCATTATGTAATGTTTGTAAGGCTTTATATGGTTTATTAGAAAGATTTTTAACAGACTATATAAAAAAATATAATAACGATACTGTAAACAACATAGGTGCCATACATACTCTTGGTGAAAGAAGATCATCGTGATGAATCATTGTATTAACAGTAATAGAAGAAGTATTTAATTTTTTCAACTATTCTAAGCGCCAAATTGATATATTTTTTTACTTCAGTTTCAGGAGATAAAAATTAATTGTAAAAAATTATTTCATATATACGTACTAGATTAGCATCCCTCTATCATTTACTTTTTTTCTATTGGTGATTAACAATCTATCCAATAGAATAGCTATCTATCCATATGTCATTCTTTGTTCTTGTCTGAACAATATTCGTTAGAATAAAAGTGGCTTTTTATTATGAAAAAAACTATTTTTCGAACTAATAGTTATTTTATAGAAAAGTCTATGATTTTTTTTGATGAATTTCATATTCAATAAATTTTTAGATTGTAAAAAATGACTGATGAAGGTGTAGAACGTTTTGAAATTGAACGTATTGTTGAGAAACGATATAGAAATGATCGCCTAGAATATCTTATTAAATGGCGTGGTTATCCAGATAGTCAAAATACATGGGAACCTTGTAAGTAATTAGAAATTTAAACAGTAATAAATCGAATTACCTGTTAGATAAATGATCGCGTACGATCATCTTTTTGAAGTGAAGAGATTCAGTAATAGTTTTCAACTTTATAAGCTTATTAATAGATAATCTTCATGAAATACTGTTACTAAATTGGATTTAAGAAGGATAAGCGATGTTGTTTTTTGTTTAATTATGAATTGTAATACAATTTGTTCGGATTACTAAGAATATCTCATTTTTCTAGCCAATAATATTGAAGGTGAACAAGAAACTGAATTACTTGCAGAATATGAAGCACATAATAAACAAAAACTACTTAATTCTGGTTCTCGATCAACGCTTAATAACTTATCACCTAATAAACGTCGAAATGTAAAATAAAATTTAATAAAAAAAATTGATTTTTGAGATTAATTGTGTGCATATTATTTTTTAGGACGAATTAATAAATAGTGGAATGAAAAAACGACCAGGCTTTCAATCATCGAACGTACCAAGTGGTTTTGATCGAGGATTTGAAGCCGAAAAAGTTTTAGGTGCAACAGATTCAGCTGGTGAACTTATGTTATTAGTAAAATGGCGTCATTCAGATGAAGCTGATCTTGTTCCAGCACGAATTGTTAATATGAGATGTCCTGGACTTGTTATTGAATTTTATGAACAACATTCTTTTTGGATTCGATTACCAAAAATAAATCAAAATGATACATCAACAACACGATAAATATAATCTATCATTCTTATTTTTCTCTTTATGTTTGTATATATATCATGTTTTGTGTTTGATCCAAAGAAAAAAAAAGTCAATGATATGGATTAAAGATATAAATATTCTCAATGAATTCTATTAAAATTTAATTAAGTGTAATAATTCTTTATAAAAAAAAACAGATTTTTATTCAACGAACTTCTATTAGCTTGATAATGAGTAAACAGAACGTTTTTCTGTGTATATAGAACTGCTCACTAAATCTCGAAAGAAGAAAATGTACAGAAAATACGAAATGTAACATATTGAAATTTCAAAAAGAAAAACTTCGGAAGAGGTCCTCTCATTCAACGATTATTCGATTAGATTTAAATAGGTATTATTATGACTGGTATGTTTTTCTCTCAGGGCGTGGATGGGTGCGGGGCAAGGACCTAGATGCATGTTTGTACAAGATAAGTATAGTAACTACATTCATCCATTTTATTCTTCGAGATTTAGTCAACATACCTATATATATGTGAAGTTGATTTGCGAAGTATTTTATATTCAAAGTCAATATCGACAGATATTAAGCTTAATAGAATAATCATTATATGATAAATATTTCGTTGTATACGAAAAGTTTTATTCGTACAGAATTCTATTCTTTCCAACAAAATACAATACTTGATAAGATTTTTATCTTATTTGGTAAACGAGTGTGCGGATTTGTTTTTTTATAAATCCTAAGAATAAAAAATGACATCACTAGTCATATATAAATTCGAATGCTTTTATTCGTTTTTTGGTTCTGTTTAAAAGAATATGTTGTTATAAGTATATCTACGAATACGACAACGAGGTCATGAATTTCATTGGATTGCATTTTTTTTCTTCCTTTTTTAATGCCATGGGCCTGACTTTTTTCGATTGTATATGATTTATTTATGTACCGTTCTTCAGAAAAGAGAAAAAAAAAGAAGAAATACGAAATACGCTGTCAGCCTTTGAATGATCAATCAAACGAACGCACACTCAACGTAATATTCGTTTCAATAAAACAAAGATGGCCGCTGTTACGGACAGTACTAAAACAGAAATCAATGTAATGATTATTGGAGAAACAGGCAGTGGTAAAGATTAAATATTTCTATATCAAAAATGTCTTTTTCTATTATTTTCAGGTAAATCAACACTTATTAATTATTTAACAAACCTGTTTCATGATGGTTCATTATCAAATCTTAAAATAGCTATACCAACACGTTATTTAAAGTCGAATATGCCTTTAGTAATGCCTGAACATCATGAAGATTTTATCGATGATATAACACGTCGTAAAACTAATCAATGTACAAAATATCAATATAAAATAAAAGAAGTTTATTTTAATTTTTTTGATACACCTGGTATTAATGATACTGGTGGTTATTTAGCAGATAATGAAAATCTTGATAAAATATTTCAATGTATTCAATCAATTGAATATCTTACAAGTTTAGTATTTGTTTTAAATGGTACACAAGCACGTTTAACAACTAATATAAAAAATGTTCTCGAACGTTTTCATGAACGTATCCCGGATATTTTCTATTCAAATATAATCGTTATTCTAACAAATTGTACTTCACATACAGTTAATTTTAATTCAATTAAATTATTAAATAATCCACCTATATATCATATGCAAAATTCAGCATTTTCATCCGATCCTCAAACATGGTCGGAACAAACATTAAAAATTTTACAACATGATTGGAATATATCAATACAAACAATGAATGAATTTATTAAAACTTTAGTTTTATTAAAACCTATTTCAACAAAATCTTTATCAGATATAAATAACGATCGAAATATTATACGTAGTATTTTACATGAAAGTCGTCTTATGATTATGGAATTACAACATATTGAAGATGAATTAATTGCACTTGAAGAAGCATCACATATCTATTCAGCAAATATTGAAAAATATATCGCAGAAAATGGTACACAAACAAAATCAATTCAGGTTAATAATTAAAAATAGAGAATTATATACAGGATCTCCGATTGAGGGGAGGGGAGCTGGGTGGGTGTAGCCCCTCGCAAAATTCGAAAAGTTGTCTATCCTTCTGCTAAACTTTTTAAAGTTTTGCTGAAAACTTGGTCAGAAACCTGGTTTTTATGCTATTTTCGCCATTTTTCCGCCAGAAACTCCAATAACAACACTTTTTTCGGGCGAAATTCCGCAGAAAGTGTGTAGCTTAAGTATTTTCTACGTTATATGCGTTAGAAAGCTATATGATGGCACTTTCTGGCAAAATTGCTGGACTTTCTGCCAAATTTTATCCCCCCGCACTTTTGAAAACAATCGGGAATTTGATTATATATATTAGAGTTAAGTCATGATCGAATTCAAAACTTTTGGTTTTGTAGGATCCATAAATTTATAGTTACTTCTTCAGAAGTAATATACTAAATAAAAAAATAGATTGTTTATTTATGAATTTAACAGCTACTAGGTAAAGTTAAAATTTATTATGAATGAATTTTTTTTCTTCAGGTAAATGAAATTACAACGACACCGTATCATAATACATTATGTTTACAATGTAATATAGTTTGTCATGAACGATGTTCATTGAGTGAAACTACACAAATAGGTGAACATGTTTTTCGACATTGTACAGTTATGAATAATGGTCAATGTACAATGTGTCCTGGTCAATGTGCTTATAATATGCATTATCATGATCGTCGTTTGATAAAATCTGTATCACGATCATTAAAAACTGCAATATCATCATTATCAAATAAATATACTGAAGATAAACAACATAAAGATGCATGTGATATAAAATGTAAAACAATAAAAGAAACAAAACATTTACTTGAACAATTATTACAAGATCAATTTAATAAAGTTCATAATGCTTGTATACGTGTACAAAATAATTGTCAAGGTTTTAATATTGCAAATGAACTCTATACATTTATCAATCTTCTTAAAAATGATACAAATTTAATAAGATCAACATCGATAATTCATAAGGTAAACAAGTTAATTGAAAAATTAGAAGTATTAGCTAATGATAGTTCAATGACATTATATGAACCATCACGTGCTACAGTTACTCAACAAAAGAAACGAACATCGAAAAAAACAAATCAAATAGAAGTACCAACAGCAATAATCGATCAAACATCTCATTCGCAGATATTGGGTTTTTCAAATAATCAACGATATGCTGAATATACAACAGAAGAATTGATTGATTTAACTCGTCAGTTAATAGAAAACCATACGTTAATTGAAAAAGAATTACATCATCGTTGTGGAGGTACTTCAATCGGTTATTTATCGTCTACAGAATTAGTAACATTATGCGAATATTATACTTCATCTTATATTTTGGAAATAAATGAACTTCTCACTTTACATTCACAACTTCAACAAGAAATTCAAGAATTAACTGTTTCCGATCCATATCAAATTCTTCGTGCCCCGATAGATAAATTAATACATTTAACTGCTATTAAACTTTGTTTACAAAATGTACATAAATATCAATAAAATTGTTTCTATGAGTAGACCATGGGCCGCGGAAGCCAGAGGCACGGTGAGGCTTCAGCCTCACTGGAATCTGGCCTCTGTAGACTCAGCCTCACTTAAATTGTGAATATTATATTTTTTGCGCGTTGATTTATACTTCGAGCTTCTAATACGTTTATGTATATATTGTGACGAAGGAAACTAAGATATTCATACTCTAATATTCTCATTAACTATTTTTTTGTGGTTCACAGCGACATCTTTTAGCTTATTATACATGAAGTAATGTTTGCTAATCCAGTTGCAGAACTAAACGATGAAAAAACATCAGAACTCTAGCTATATTCAAGTACTTACTCTCTTTAATGAGTTTAGCGAAATTCATCCGGGAAAACGAACTGATTCGTATATTTATTCGAATGTCTACCTTACAAACTTTATCCAATGGCTTGGTACTACGATTTAAGCGCAGTGTATTTCGAGAATTATTGAACAAATTTATTATTAACTGGTCATGGGGTACAATAGAATGGAATTGATTAGTTCAAAACGAACAACTAGTATTTTCCGTTTGATGTTTACGTTTATTATCACCATTTTAATCATTTTATATTCTGTATACTACATCGGTACTTATCATGAACTATCGACTGCGTCTGACTATAATAGTTTTCCTGTAAAATGGAATAACAATCCACGTGGTGTTATTGTTACACTTATTCGTAGTACGAATCGATCAATCGCTCAAGTTATTAATATGATTCATTCTGTGACTCTATTTCATTCAACTAATGATAATTTTCAATATCCATTTCTTTTATTTCATGATCACAATTTTACTTTAGCTTTACGTCAACAAATTTTATCATGTGCACGTTATAAGAATAAGACAATACAAATTTCATTTGTTCCTCTTAATTTCGTATCAAATGTTTCACGATCTGATAAATTCTCTAAAAAACATCTACCTGGTTATCGTTTAATGTGTCGATTCTGGTCATATGATGTTTTTTATCATCCAGCAATTGTTTATGGAAATTATGATTATATAATGAGAATGGACGATGATTCATATTTTATAAATAAAACCCATATAGATCTTTTTCAATATATAGGTCGTAAAAAATTAGATTATGTCTATCGATCATGGTATCAAGAAGATAATAATGCATCATTTGCTATCGAAAAAACATTTTTAAATAGAACAATAGCTAGAAGCAAATGTATTTATAATAATTTTTTTATTATGCGATTACAATGGTTTTATAGATCAGAACGAATACAACAATATTTACATGAATTAATTCGAGATGATTTAATACTTCGAGAATATGTTGGTGATGGATGTATTCATGCAGCTATGCTTGAAATTGATCCAACAGCAAGAACAGAACATTTAATACAAATTTCTTATGGTCATAATTATCATATAATGTTACGCAATCATGAAAATCATACCTTTAACTATGTCAAAGAATTTGAACAAGGAATACCAAATTCATGTCATCAACTGATTGTTATTTGTAGTACAGAGGGCAACGTAACACAAGTTACAATTGAATAATTTTTTTATCGAGAAGAAGAAAATGATTCTACTTTTAGTATTGTCTGTTTAGAAAATCTATACTTATTTTTATATTTGCTTTTTTTGTACTGTTAATCATTGAAAACTCTACATTAAAATATAGAAATTTCACTGGCAACTACTCGTTGTAGTTTTTCAGAAATCTCAGTAACTAACAAATATTTTTTTATATATGTTATTAGCAGTGGCGGATCTAGGATTTTAGAAGGGGGGAGGGCGATTTTTTTTTAGTATGGAGAGGCGATATCTGGGGAAGGGTGGGGGATTGTTTTTTTGTGAGTATGGAGGGGCGATACCTGGGGAGGGCGATTTTGGTTAAAAGCTATTTTTCGAGCTCAACCGACGTAGTGTGAACCTATTTTTTCCTTCATTTTTGCGGTAAAAAATCAAAAAAAATTCGGAAGGGGAGGCGATCGCCCCCATCGCCCTCCCCCAAATCCGCCACTGGCTATTAGTACTATGTTTTTTATCCATGGAAAATAGTTCAAGATCTTTATTATTAACAAAAATGGAATCATAAAAAATTATGTATCATACAACTTCTTTTTTTTTAAGTTACTTTCAATTTTAATCATTGATAATTTGAAATTATGTTTGATTTATTTTTGGCATACATCGTGAAAATATCGTTTGTAAATATTTTCTCAGTTCATGATTGTATAAATAAAGATCAATTATATCACATAGTAAAGCTAATTCACACCAAATTGTAAAGCATGATAATAAAATTGGATGGATGTAAAACGCATTTTCAATAGCAAGTAATAAATATAATGGAGTCCATCCTCCAATAAAAATACTAAACATTATGATCATATGTCGAAGTAAACGAACATCTCGTCGACTAATTTTCGATTTATGTTCACTGCCAGATATACGAATCAGAAGCGATACTGATGATCGAACACGACGAGATAGTAAACGAACTTTAATATATATTAAACTGTTGATATTAAAGAAAATAAATGATGGACATATTACCATAAATATGAACTTATATGAATCCACCCATCGTGAAATAACACAGTTCTATAGAAGTAAACAACAATGAAATGTGGATTTTATAAGAAAAAAAACTTACGGCATGAATTCCTAATAAAATTGGTAGTATGACAAGTATTCCAATAATCCATTGACTTAAAATACAAATGAATACCCATCGTTTTCTTTTAAATAAAGGCTTATTATGGTATATTATACGGCAAAAGCGATTAATCGAAGTTGTAATAAAACTAAAAGGAACTTGAATAGTTATTATTGATGATACCATATTTACGAAAGTACATGAATCGACTACAGTATCAAATGTACGAACAGGAGTTAACATCACCATTAAATAAAAGAAAAACCAATAGATAGAACATAATGCTGTAACCAAACATATATTCAATGTTAGTATCATATTAGAACGATGAAAACGAGTAATACATATTATCGGAATCGAATAGATAAAAGCCATAAGAAAGATTATTCCAAATAGAATAACTCGAAGATACGATAATATTTCCTCAAAATTTGTCATTATTTATGACTAATAACGATGTTCTATAAGATTAAAATCAATTAGTGTTTAACTCAAAACAAAAATGGTAAGAATTCTTTTCAATGAATCAAATAATACCTATGAAATGTGATAATATTGATTCCCAGAAAGAGTTTTGTAAATCTGAGTAAGAAATTTAATATCAAATAAGAGCTCGTTATAAATCGATTGTATGATTATGAAGATAATTACAAGCTCTAAAATGGAGAGATGTAACAGAAGTACACACGAACGCTGTCATGATTAGTCACGTATAAAAATATCTAAGTCCTAACAAAGTTTTTTTGACATAAGACTCCGTAGAATAATGAGAGCATTAGACAGGTCACATACCTATATTTGACTTAATCTAGATGTTTTTCTATAGTTTTAGTCATTTGGCTATACATGTTGAAAGTATTCAACTAGATTTATTAACAAAGCACGTTCAACAAGATCTACTAACAAGGCATGCTCAACAATGTTCTTTTTGACACAGCATGCACAACAATATTTAGTAAGCAGTATATTTTATTATGAATTTTATCTATTTATAATTTATTACATGTGCAAGAGGTAGCCTATATTTACAAAACTATCAATAGTCTAAAGTCTCTGCTAATTCAATGGATCATTAATGACTATGACATACTCCGATATTAACGAACTGCCGCTTATTATAGAACTTATTGTTTATGCTAGTTGAATACACAGTAATATTCATCAAGAAAAAAACTATCAAAATCTCGAAAGGATGTTCACAAAAACAACATTCTAAAAAGAATCGTATAAACTGATGTATCAACTGTTCTTCAAACACATTTTTGAATATCAATGAACAATATAAAGGGTTTTTTTTCTTTATGACGTCAAGATTGATTCTTCTAAAAGCATGCGACAAAAGTTTTATGGAACATCATGCAAGAACCTTTTTGTCTATGCATAAAAATCATAAAAAATTCAGCTTCAGTCAACTTTATTATTTATATTTTAATTAACCTGATACACTAGGATTCTTGTCACACAATATATACACAACTAAGCTAGGAAAGTTCTGGAAGAGCTTGGAAATAATCACAGAACAAAATAATAAAAAGAACGCAGTTGGAATATATCAAAGGTGGACAAAACAAAAGAATATATATATGTGTATGACGTCTGTGACATCTAAACAAAGTATTAGATGAAAAGATAGAAGAAAAGATAGATAGATGAATCATACTATAACATGAGCTTTTTTCATGTAGAAGAAAAAATGGAGCTTTGATGAAAAGAACTTAAAAAATTTGATATCAATTAATTGAATTTTTCGTCAAAAAATACTCATTTTTTACTCATATAGACAGAAATGTCCATACATCGTACTAGGAAGGTTAACTATACGAAAAAATACTATAGATAAAATCATAATTTGTCGTTCGAGCAATTCATGGAGTTAACATGTTCTTATATTTGATTAAATAGTTTACCCTTTGAACTTGTGTATTTAAGATATATTCTATAAAATATTTATACTTCTCGCTGTTATAGTCACCATACGACCATATTTCAATTCTTGACAGATATAAAGTCAAAACTGCACGTTAGGTACGGTAAAATTAAATGAGGTACCTAATGAATAACAAATACAACTGGAACTCGTCATCTTTCTGAAAGATGTCAACTAACTCTCGAAAAAAGAAGATTAATGACATTCATAATATTTATGAATATATATTTTTATTTGAACATTCTATCTGTTTTGTGAAGCTATTCAATTCTTATTGCAAGTGACAATAATGTATAGGATTATAATAAAACACGTCTTAACAATAATATATATTATGACATGTGCTCAATAACTTCATTTAAGAAACACCTCTGGATCTTGATGAAATGATATAAAATAAAATTTTAATGAAGATCACATGTAATGATAATAACTCCATGCGGATCATACTGTATTTGCGATTGACTGATTTATATTTAGCAAGAAAACAAAAGATACACTAAGTACAAACTAAAATAATAGATATACCATATGTTCCTTGTCTTTAATTTTAATTATTAATTTAAACTACAAAAACAGATGTCGTTAGTCTGTATTATAAAAATGAATTGATATTGTCAACTTTATGATTGGTTTTATAACTACAGAAAAAATAATATGTCATACCTACGCTAAAATCTATGCATCACATGATTTTCTCAACAAAAATACATCTATTATATAATAAGGTGTAAAAAATAAATATTTTATAGGTAGCCACAGCTAATAGTTTACAATCTGGATCGTTGTTTTTATTATAAAATCTTATGAAAGGTTTGATTTGATAAAGAAAAATAAGATTTTGCATTTATAGACACGAAACAATAGCTTTGCCTAAATTATAGATCAATTTGAAATGCACTGTAGAACATGTTGTTATGTCTCAATATACACATGTTATATCAGTAAATATTAGATTATGATACCAGATATTTTGTTATCATAATTTATTTATTTAGTTAGTTGCAAATTTTAATTCACATATGAATTTCATTTCTTGGGTGAAATATCAATAAAAGCTGAAATTAGGTTGTATGTGAAAAAAAAGATTTTGCATCTCTTCTAACACACTTCTAATGATTATCATTGTTGCTCGAATGATAGTCATATTCAATTGCTAGGTAAAAAAAGAGAAAATTTAAACATCATCATTATATGTTATCATCATGATGATATTATTATTTGCCAAGGTCGTGCAACAAAAGATAAGAAATATAGCACATAAAATACCATGCAATCAAACAAAAACCTAGTAGAACAAAAGTGAGAATTATTTCTATATACTTATTTTTTCTAGATTGAAAATATGCAACAAATAACTGCTTTAATCACAGCATGTAAGTTTCTTTTTAGTTATTTTAATATTCTAAATAGATAAGAATTTTATTTAGTATTAGCTGTGATTATATCAATTAATGCAAAATCAGTATTACATGATGGTCTCCCAGCAAGATATCATGTTAGTGGTGTTATTCAATTACCTTATGCTGAAATAAGAGAACCATTTGAATCATGGATTGATGTTCAAGCTGGATTTTCACGTATTGATTATTATGGCGGTTAGTTAGTTTTATAATCTATTCAGTAATAATAATAATAGTATAAAATCAATTACAGGTGCAGCAAAAACTGTTCAACGAAAAGGACAAGGTGGTCAAGATGTTGGAGCTAATTATAAAATTGTTCCAATGTCTGGTAAATAAAGATTAATAAAAATAAAAGTTTTATTTTCTGAAATTATTTATATATTAGATGAACAAGTTTTAAATAAAATCAGTTGTTTTCAAGCTAATGGTACATCCGATGAGCCAGTTGATGTACAACATACTATTCCTGATTTTACTACATTTCAAGTAATTAATAAAATGATTATGGCAAATATTCTTTATTTTTTTATTTTGTAGGATATGGGTCCAGCTGAATGGCGTGGAATCAAATGTCAAATGTATCAAAGTGTTGATCAAGTAGGTGATAAAAAATCTACATATACCTATTATGTTAACATTGCCAACAAACATCCAGTTCATTATGAAATGTTCGGTTACGATTCATTGATTGGTTCACATTTTGATAAATATACCATTGATTATTACAATTATGATGAAAACACAATTGATCCAACTGTATTTCATGTTACTGATGGTAAAAAAACGGAATATACTATTAGATATTTATCCGAGATTGAGAAATTTTTGTTTCATTAGAAGAAGAGAAAATTATGAATAACTTTTTCTGAGTTATTAGTACAAACGTTAGAATGCTACGGAATTCTAAGTCCATCAAATGAATCTTTTTATTTAATAGCAATGACATGTACTGGATTTCCTGGTCCTGGTCTCGAACATACATCTCCACGGGTTTTATTTAATCCAATGAGTGAATATATCAACAGACATGGTGAAGATCATCTTCAATCATCATTTGAAAAATTTAAAAATAAACACGGACATAAATATGAAAGTGAACAAGAACATCGTCATCGTTTGAAAGTTTTTCGAAATAATGTTCGTTATATCAATACACAGAATCGTGCATCATTACCATATAAAATGAAAATAAATAAATTTGCTGATCGAACAGTAAAGTTAACATAAAGTTTTTTGTTTTGTATTAAATAGTTTATTTTTTTTAGGATGATGAATTACGTGTACTTCGTGGTCGTCGTCATACTAAAGGCTTTAATGGTGGTCTTCCATTTCCAAAAGAAGAATTAGCAAGCAGTAATTTAGCTATTCCAGATTCAATTGATTGGCGTATTATGGGAGCTGTAACACCAGTTAAAGATCAAGGTATATGCGGTTCATGTTGGTCTTTCGGTACAACCGGTACTATCGAAGGTGCCTATTTTGTTAAAGTAATTAAATCCATATCTATATATAGTAAATAATGATTTTTTTTTGTAATTTTATTAGCATGGAACAAGTATTCGTTTATCAGAACAAGGTATAATTAATATTCGATAATTAATAAATTAATATGTATACATATTTTTCTCTTACTATTAAATAGATTTAATTGATTGCTCATGGGGTTTTGGTAATAATGGTTGTGATGGTGGAGAAGATTTTCGTGCATATCAATATATAATGAAACATAATGGTATTGCATTAGAAGATGCTTATGGTCCATATTTACAAGAAGATAGTTTCTGTCATCATGATAATACAACAAAAGGTACAAAAATTCTTGGATATGTTAATATAACTGAAGGTGATGAAGAAGCTTTAAGAATTGCTATTGCAACAAAAGGACCAGTATCAGTTGGTAAGATTTTCATTTTAGTTGTATTATTTATTCATGTTCTTTTTTTTCTAACAGCTATTGATGCTGCTCATAAAGGTTTTCTCTTTTATGCAAGTGGAGGTAAGAACTTGAAATTTTGAAAGCTTATTTTTATCTATATTTTTATTATATTTATAGTTTTCTATGATCCAGATTGTGGTACGTTTTCTTTTGCTATATAAAGCTTAAATTATTATTTATTTTAATAATATATTTTAGGTAGTTCACCTGAAGCATTAGATCATGCAGTACTTGCTGTTGGTTATGGTACATTAAATGGTCAAGATTATTGGCTTGTTAAAAATTCATGGTCAACCTATTGGGGTAATGATGGTTACGTACTTATGTCACGTAAAAATAATAATTGTGGTGTTGCAACATCTGCAACTTACGTTATTATTGAATAAATTGAACAGTTTCTTTTCTTTTTCTATGATATTTAAGTCTTTCTAATATATAAAACATTTTTTTTCTAATTAATCGAGTTTTTGAAATAAAATTTCTTTACGGTGAGAAAACAATTATAAATAGTATGATTTTTATGCTATATAGAAATATGAAGTTTTATAATTTTTTGCTCATAATGATTCAATCAACAACGTTAACTTTATTTTAATCAATATGAATGTAAGACAGTAAAAGCTGTCAGAATTACTGTAAGCCCTCTAAATTATCATTAAGCTATTTTCTTGAAAATTCTGTCACTATTTAATGGATGTATCTGTTATATGTCAATTAAATCAGACTGTTTCGTAATAAATACATACATAATAAGTTAAGAACATACATACTAAAAAAATCAGGTTTGCTCGAAAGAGAGAAGAAAATTGTGTACCGAAATTTCTATCCTGTACTTATTGTAGTCATATCAAATAAATCAATCAAACTATTACGACGTATTTTTAAACTACGTAGTAACTTTGCTAATTAACATCTATCAAAACAATTGTATACAATACCATGGTTTGTACCTAAATGGGATCTATTTTTCTTTTAATCTCTAAATAGTTCGGATACTTATGTCGACATTTTTCTTTTCCCTTCAAACTTCTTATACTTCCTTGATATATCAGTTATTCATCAATCTACACAAACAGATGTAAAACATTCTTTATGTTATCAACATTGCTAATCATTAAAACCATCAAAGTAATATTGATTAGACTTATACGACATTGACTTTGTCTTTTATAACGAAAGTAATATAAACAAAAAACTAACACAAGTATTCTATTTTGTTTATCAACAAATCAAACAATTGTTTCATAAGAAAATTATTACAGGTGGTAATCAAACTCTTTTGCATTCTAATAATTCAACTACCCTCGTAACATCGATAATATTCATCTTTAATGTATTTATTGACAATAACTCATTTATACTTGAATGTCTGTCGTTAATCGAGTTCTTTTTCTTCAATAGAATAGAGCTTTCACATAACGTTAGGGACTTATT